ACTTCTCAGATGGATCTAAGAAGGGTTGTTGGTTTTTTAGTTTGTTCAGCTTTTTACTTGTTAGGAGAAAGTGGCAATTTCCAAGCTCCTTAGATGTCAGACTGGGTGTCCTGTTATTTAATTTTCAGTCATAGGTTTGTTATTTTTCTCCTTTTATTGATTGATTTAGAGTGAACATATAATTTGTCCTCTGGAAAAAAAAGGTCTTCTGAGAGTTAAAGGGGATGCTATTAATAAATATCCCAGAACAACAAACATAAACTGTGACGTGTGGTTACCCTATTGATGAAGTTTACTACTGATGAGAAAACTGATGCCAGAGAGCTAATAAGGGTCACAGGTGGGATTTGAACCCAGACAGTCTTATCCTTGAATCAGTGCACATAACCTCCATGCTAATAATCTCAGATTTTTGAGATGCCTTGTGTGTCTTTTCAAGGTCTTCATCAGGACTCATGATTACTCGTCATCGTGGCTATTCTTTTCTGAAAAGAAATATAATTAAAACACAATATTGCAATTATTTATAAGTTCTTAATTTGTTATTTTTATTTTTATTTTAGTAGGAGTGTAAGAACTGTTTTAAATTATTCTTTACTTATTACTGTACATAAACTCTTCTAAATCTGGAAATTGTTCTCCTCTGGATCCGGGACTTGAAAGAGACATCAAATCAAACTTTTAGTTCTGTAGGTAAACAACCCTAGATGACGTGACTAAGTTGCCAAATAATACAGCTAATCACTTGTGGAATCTAGCTAAGAATTGGGAGGCAGAAAAACGTAGTGATTGAAAATGGAATTAGATTGCTGGATTCGAATGCCAGTTCCACACCATGCAGGCTGTGGCCCCTTAGACAAGTGTTTTATTCCTTTCCAAGTCTCACTTTTCTTGTATGTATAATGGAGAAAATATTAGTAACTTTCTCATGTGATTGTTGTTTTGAGTCCTAGGTGAGGCTGGTACATAATCAGGGCTCAGCAATGTTCTCTATCTCATCCTGGTCTTTAGGTTTCCAGTGAAGTGCTTTTAAAGTGTGCTGCCTATGAAATCTCTCTGGCAATGGCTTTTTGAGATCTGTCAATGTAGGTCTTGAGTCTGCCAGCAGGAGTTCATTGATTGTTTTAAACCGTCTATTTGTGTAACTAAATGTGAAAAAGAAAATGGTCCCCTTTACCATTTCTGATGCACCACTAAATGAACACTCAACTGCCTTTTCAGAAATAAGGGAGTAGTAAAAAAATACTTTTAAAATCAACTTTTAGTTTTATTAAAGCTATAAATATCTATAGCTTTTTAAAAAAATCTTGGTCCTGAAAGATTTTAACAAAAGTTATCAGTCCCCCCTGCTCATCCCTCCTGATCTTGATTACCAGTATTCGCAGGTTACCACTCAAACCCTTGTAGCTATTTCTTTTGGTATTTACCTCCATATGTCCATGTAATCTATGCTACAATTTCCTGACTTTTTTTTTTAGTTTTATATCCTCTCTTTTGACTTTCTTCTGCGAAAAAGAAAGATTAAGCTTTTTTATATTTCTCTCCCATACCAACATGTACACACACATATGCTGTATATGTATGTATATGCTGTATATACTCTTCTGTACACACACATATGCTGTATATACGTTTCCTCCCCCGTTCTACTAATATAAATGATATAATCATATTTTACTAAATGAACTGTTATGATTCTGAAAATACTATTCACAGCTGAGCCATGTGGTAAATTATGATTAAATTTCCTTCTTGCAAGATACTGTCTTCTTCAAGATTGGTATTTGTCTCTCTTTTTGTTTGTTTGCATGGTCTTCTATATATCTGTCACTAATGCATTTCCAGCCTCTCCTACAGAAGTCTGAATCTCTCAATACCTTTAAAAACATTAGGTATTTGTTATTCTATCACTTTTACTTTTTTCGTGATGGGAGAAGACATCTCTTCAGGACTTTGTGCCTTCTTGTTCCAATAGACATTGATTGCTGTCTTGGTCTTGTGCTGGGGTCTGCACCATCCTGAAAATTCTCTTCTTTTATTGGTTGGATCCCTGCTTCCCGGATCTCTTTGTTAGTTTGCTCCCTTGCTTTGTGGGACACATCCTTGAACAGCTTTCTGCAAAAAAGAGGAGAAAGGGAGGTAAAAATATTTTGAGATTTTGCAAGCCTGGAAATATCTTTTTCTACTCTCACTTTATTGATCATTTAGAATTTCAGGTTAGAAATTATATTTTCCTGAGAATTTTGAAAACATTGCTCTATGTTTGTTAGTTTCCAGCTTGATGCTGGGAAGAGTGATGCTCCAGTGATTCCCAATCCTTTCTTTGTGTGACTTTTCCTTTTTTTTTTAACTTCTCTGGGAGCTTTTTAGGATCTTTTATCTGTTCCTAGTGTTTTGAAATCTTATACTGATGTGCCATATTGTGTGTGTGTGTTTTCATTTTGTGTTAGGCACTTGTTGAGTTCATTCAATCCATACATTCATATCTGTCACTTATAGAACATATTCTTGAGTAGGACCTTTCCTGCCCCCCAACTGTTTTTGTTTGATCTTCTTTCTCTGGAATGTCAGTTATTCAGACATTGGATCTTCTGGATTATTTCTCTAGTTTTTAAAAATGTTTTTCCTTTATGTCTTTTTCTTTTGTTTTCTCGTGGGGTTCCTCAATTTTGTCTTCTAGCTGTTCAATGAACATTTTCATTTCTGCTCTTGTATTTTTAATTACTGAGAATATTTTTTTCTCTGAATGTTTCTTTTAATGGCATTCTATTCTTGTTCCATGAATGTGATAGTGTCTTTTTTCTCTGAGGATATTAATAAAAAAAAAAGTTTTCTTCTGTATTTTACATTATCATTGTTTTCTCCAGGTTCTGTTTTATAATGTTTATTTGTTTTGGTCTCAGAGAATCTCCTTGGCTGTCCGTTCCTATTTAAAGGTGAAATATTAACAGGTAATTGGAAGCTCAGAAGCTCTATGTGGGTGTGCTTAACTTATCAAGTGGTAGCCTTCACAGTGGGGTGATTCACTGGGCTGTTTTGATTGGCATTCCTCTGAATGTCAATATCTATGTTTTTCTCTTGGAATCGTTAATTTTCCCAAGTAAGGTTCTTCCAGTCTCTTGCTCGGGGTTTGGGGGTGATAATAGTCTGCCAGCTAGTTCTTTCTTGAAGCCAAATTAGGTAATTGGATTGGGGACTTTGAAATGAGGTGGGGAGGGGGTCTTGCCATTCCGTATGTAGAAATTCAGTTAATCACCCTTTTTCAATACCTGATCCTTCATGCTGGGCCAGGCGCCCTTCAGTTCAGAGGTTTCTCTACTTCATATTTCCAGAGCATAAGCCTACACTCTCCTGCCAGGATGGACCGGGGGCAGCTCTCAGCTATATTAGCCATGGAAATATGACTGCTTTCATCCCTTGCTCCTGTTTTCAGCCTCAACTGCCACCACCCCTCTCCACTCTTTTCAGAGCTATTGGACCCCCTGGTCCTAAGATTTTCTGAGATGCCATGATATAAATTACCCAGTGTCTGGGCTTCTCTCGTTGTTGGCTTTCTTGAATGCAATTTTCCTCTTTTGCTGGTCTATTAAGTTAGTCAGCAGTCATCCTTCTGGGTTTCCAGTTTCATATTTTTTTCTGCAGTTTTCTCACACTCTCTTTGGCCTTTTTGGTTAAGCCTTTTTCTTATTCTTTAATTCTTTTTATTATTATTTTGAAGAAGCAGTATATTGGTTGAGAGCACGGGCTCTTGACCTAGACTGGCTGGACCCACTCCCTGTATGACTGTATGACCTTGCATAAGATGTTTATATATCTCTCTGCCTTCATATTCTTCTCTTCAAAAAATAGCAGTTGGACTATTTTTTAGGATTAAGTTATTTAAGACATACAAAGCATGTAAAGCCATAGCTGGCCTAATAAATTTTAGCCATTATTATTTTTGAAAAGTTTCAGGTAAAAGATAAATCTGTGCATTCAAGTAACCATGTTTAACTGGAAGTCCAAAGAAATGCACTTAAGAATATAAATCTTTAGGCAAACACTGTACTGTCCATTTCATCTAACGAAGAAAGCAAAAGACAGATACTGTGTATCTGATGTGCTACATAAAATGTCTAGGCTTTTTATTACTGAAAAAATGCTTGGAGTTCAGTTTCTAACTGTGTTTTACAGATGAGGAAAACTGAGACCCAGAGAGTTACATGACTTGCCTTGACATTAGGATCTAAACTTCATAGTTCCTAGTTCTAGGCTTTTTATTACTGAAAAAATGCTTGGAGTTCAGTTTCTAACTGTGTTTTACAGATGAGAAAAACTGAGACCCAGAGAGTTACATGACTTGCCTTGACATTAGGATCTAAACTTCATCGTTCCTAGTTTGACCTTCTCTTCATTAAATCATATTTCCTTTTATAAGGAACAGAGAATGCTGTGAGACTTGCCCGTTTGTTTTTGGTGATGGGTCTATTCTATACCTGATTTTCTTCTATTTATTAATTTTACTTCAAGTGCTTAGCCCTGGATCAATAATAAATAATCTTTGATTTATGATACACTCTCATTATTGGTTCGTGTATAGCCTATATGTTTATTTATTTGTAATAATGCATGCAATAATATGTAATAATGTAATACATAAAAATTTAAAGCATCCATATTGGGTGAAATGCTTGGGAGGAAAATTAAAATGTATAATTTCCATTTATGTGTGGTACAAAAATAAACTCATATATTTAGATGTATTTTGGTGATACAACTATTTGTTTTTCTCTCCTGGATCTAAAGTTATTGCATGGATGGGTACTTTTACAACTCTATTCCTCATCACATGAAAATGGACCAGACTGGGGTAGCAGTGGATTAGAAGACAAAGGAAGACAGAGAGGAACAGGAAATGGACTAGGAATATGTACTTTACATTGAGCATTGAGGCATATGTGTCTCTAAAATTTGTTAAGTCTTCAGCAAATTATGTAATGTTGGGTTTGTTTCTGATGCAGGTTTGAGAACCATTGGAGTCATCACCAAGCTGGATCTTATGGATGAAGGAACGGATGCCAGGGATGTCCTAGAGAACAAGCTGCTGCCTCTCCGCAGGGGTAACATACTGTGGTCCACACAAGACTTCCTTTGATGATATGGCAAAGAAACAATTGGGAAGCCACTAGGAGGCTTTGTTTTAATGCTTCCTCGGTTGCGAGGAATGGGTTTATTATTAGTTATACTTTTTATGAAACGACACAACGTTCCCAAATTATGTATTAAAAAATGACTCAAAGAGAACTATTCCTTAAAATAACAGGAGTAAGAAAACAGGAAAAGAAAGGGGTTTGAAGGGATGTGATAGCTATTCATTATAGACTGCACAAACATATACTGCTCTGTTCTAAGTCTGATATTTACTTGCCTGCTATATGACAAAACTGCTAAGAGATATACTCTCTTAAAATACACAGAGCTTTTAAAGGTGAGACATTATTATGTTGATGCTAAAAAATTGTCAATAGCCAAATCAGCAACTTTTGTTAAATACTGATGTCTCAGATTAATTTTTGTAAAGGGACCCGGTCTTCAAGCCTTAAAACTAAATTTGCCTTTCTTATTCAGCCTGCTTGAGAGCCTTGAAATTCCCCATGAACAAGCAACAAAAACAATCCCAAACTCCATGGGTGTGTGTTTCATTTCAGGTTACGTGGGTGTGGTAAACAGAAGCCAGAAGGACATTGATGGCAAAAAGGACATCAAGGCGGCCATGCTGGCAGAGAGGAAATTTTTTCTTTCCCACCCGGCTTACAGACATATTGCTGATCGAATGGGGACCCCACACCTGCAGAAGGTCCTTAATCAGGTAAAAATGTTCTTTCAAGCAACAACAATGATGAAATATGTAAGTGACACTGGAATTTATATTTCTTATTTTTAAATTCATTTTCTTTCCAAAACAAGACATTCAGCTTAAATGATAAAAATTTTAAAAATGAATGAGAATACTTAGATCCACACTATTACCATTCTCAGTGAATAAAATTCACCTTAATATTATTGAAAGAACAGTGCTGAAAGCAGAAATGCATACTTTTTTTTTGCACCAGTCAATAGGGATATACATTTTAGCATGCATTCACTCACAATATGTAGATATCTCTTAAGATAAGTTAAACTTGGGTAGTTCTGAACATTTGATCTCTTGGGACCTGTTTTTGAAATACCAATCTGTAATGGCAAGATTGTCTTTTAAGAATTTTTTATGGTTTTGTTTAAGAGTGACTGTGTCTTAATTTAAAATCTTCAACATATCCTAATTAATCATCAATTTCCACTCTTCTAAGAAGCTTTTCCAGGAAACCCCTTTCCCCGCAATAAATAGAATTGGGCATTCTGCCTATCCCACTCCACGCACTGTACACACTTCTTTCATAAAACCTCAGTGCACTCACTTGGTTACATATATTCCTTCCACTGTTGGGGTTAAGCCTCATGACAAGCATCATTGTCATCGAGTGCAGGGCCAACTCCCTGAGTTTTGATTACCTTGAGTTTATATGATGAGCAGCTTTCCTCACAAATATTCTCATTAGTGATGCTTAAACTCTTATCTATGAACTTAATCAATCGAGTAGTTATTGAATGTTCTGATGGTTATCTTCTTGAAGGTATTGGTAGAGGCTGTCACAGTATGTGACGTTGTACATGCACCATTTAGGCAAAACAACTGAAGAAGTTTTAGAAAATGAAAAGTAGGGATATACTTCTATTTTAAGTGACATAACACAGTCTACTGTAAAGTTTATACTTTTTTAACTAGAGGTAAATGAGTATTTGGAAGCTATGAGGCAGCACTATGGTTGTATCATTCTAAAAATATAAGTATGTTTTAGAGAAGGAACACTGGTTTGTCATGCAAGAACCATAATATTTTACCAATATATTCAGCACTGGCAAAACTCTACATACTGCTTTCACACCTGTACTGGCCTAAGAAAAATACAAATAAACTGAAAAAATCTTAGAGGAAAATCACTAATATGATTAGAAAGATAAGGTTGGAAATAAATTAGGTTTTGAATGCTGACAAAATAGAAGGAGATGATTGACCATTTGGTTATTACAGGTGACCCCCAAGTTATGACATAATTGGATTCTGGTTGACTAAGAATTGAGTGAATTTTGTATTGAAGATATTGAAGATCTCTCTTTTCCCAGATAATCACTCTTTTTTTTTTATTGTTTCAAGGATATTTGTATTATGTTTGAGTCTAATATAATTTTATTGCTCTTTAAATGTGTACCAATACCATTGACTCCGAGGGAGTTCCTGTGGAAAAAACTGAAAAGAGGCATGGCGTTTTTGAGAAACTAAAGGAAATGTCATTGTGGCTGGAAGGCAGAGAAAGAGGGAGTGAGTTGTAAGAGATGAAGTTGTAGATGTAGGCACTGGCCGTATCCTGTAATGTTTGCAGCCCAAGTTAAGGATTTTGGCTCTTATCCTAAGAGCAGTGGAGAGTCATTTAAGGTGTCTGAGTAGGGGGATGACAATCAGATCTGAGGGTTAAAAAAGAATATGTTACTGCAGACAGGAAAATCAAGAGTAGACCAGTTAGGAGTAAAAGTGAGAAATTATGGTAGGTTGGTCTTGGTGAGGGCCAGTGGAGATGAAAAAAGAAAAAAAAAAAAGCAGATTTGAAAAATGTTTAGTAAACTTGAGAATTTGGTGGTACATTAGTGCTGTTGGGTGATGGAGAGGTGGAGTAATAACTCCCAAGTTTCCAGATTGTTATGAAGTCCCCAAGATGGGAAACCATGAAGGGAATATCAGATACTTGATTTTGGGCATGTTTAGGTCGAGGTGTCATTGACACATCCAAGAGGAGAAGTCAAGCAGGCGGTCAAATGCATATGCCCACAGCAAAGATAAGAAATGCTGCTTAGAGATAACATTTTAGCAGCTGCACATGTTTGGATGTTTGTTGAAGACATGGATGAAATGAAATTGCCTTAAGAGAGAACAGAGAGTGAAAAAAGAAGATGTCTAGGACCCAGATTTGAGAAATTTCATTAATGACTGGTCTGATGAGGAGGATAAATTGTCAAAGGAGATGGAGTAGGTACACCCAGAATAGTTAGGAGAAAAATTAGAGGAGCAAGGAAAGAAGTTTTTCAGAAAGCAAGAGTGGTCCACAGTTTTGCTCTGCTATTGAGATATCTGAGAAGCAAAAGGTGGAAACCACATATTTTTATTACTTACCAGCTTACATGATACTGGTTTCTTGTGGCTGCTGTCATTCTTAGATTTGGATCCTTGTCTCTTGTGACATAGTTATTGGAAACATGGTCCTCTCCATTCTTTTGTTTTCTCCTTCTTAGCACAATAGCAACACATGCCAGTGTGCTAATATATCAATTTATAACTGTGGGCAAGGGGATAATACAGTTATGAACTATTGACAGTTAAATAACTATCGATTTGTTGAATAGATATATTCAGGTAACCTCACATAAACATACAGATTATTTAAAGTAGTTTCTTTAGTCAGTCTGGGTATATTTATTCTCCTTTTAATTTATTTTTCTTTTTCCTGCATTTCTAGGAAGTTTATATCCTTTCTCTTGATCCCGAGTTTATTACTCAAGCAGTGGAAAAAGATTGTCTTTCTCTTTTTTAAAATTCAAACTGTTCTTTAACTGTATTGTAATGGAAGGAACGTAAAGCAGAGAGCTAAACAATCTGGGTTGATATCCCACCTTTGTTCTTAATTAATCACATACTATCAGACAGTCTCTTAGAGAAGTTTTCATTGTACTGAGCTTGAGGTGCCAGCTGATCTCAGTGGAAATGCCAAGCAGATGGTCAGGTAGAGATGTCAATAGAGAGCGCTTTCCCTCCCTCAGTTATAGAGTTTTTATATGCAATCTGTTGAAGGCACAAGCCAGTGACCAACCAGGGTTGGACTGGGACCTAGAGGTGGAGGTAAGAGAAATCACCTGCCCAAACTGCAGAATGGAGAGAAAGCTGATAGCTGACAGGTATCTCTGGCACCCTTGGCTATCTCAGCTTCAGCAGTGTGGTAAGCCATGGAGTCTTGAGAACGTCATGCAGCACCTATAACTCTCGGCTTCCTTCCTTTCTACTACATTCTAACTTAAAGTTTCTTTCTACAAGGTAGGTGATTTGATAAATCAATTAATGCTAAGGTGTTATTGGACAGCCTCATTAGTAATATTAGCTGCAGTTTAACAGGGTAAGAGACATAAGGAGATAGCCCAAATGGGTGACTCTAATCAAAGAAATTTAGAGCAAGTCTGAAGGTCAGTAGAGGAGAGGTGGAGCTTCCTCTCACTTTCTGCCTACGTAGTCTCAACTGTGTATATGTGATTTCTAAAGTTGTGAATGATTAGGAAAACAGTGGAGGCTGATTTTTGTCTCCTAAGTTAACCTTCAATCTCTTTTATGTGTGTATGATTTTGTTTTGTTTTATTTAGCAACTTACCAACCACATTCGCGATACCCTGCCAAACTTCAGGAACAAACTACAGGGACAGTTGCTCTCCATAGAACATGAAGTAGAAGCCTACAGAAACTTCAGACCAGAAGACCCCACCAGGAAGACCAAAGCACTGCTGCAGTAAGTCACTTTTCTCTCCCTTTGTTCAGCATTTTAAACTAATTCCTTCAGTTTGCTTTTGCCTTAGTCTATTTGTCATGTTATTTTCTAGGTTTAACAGAAGCAGCAGGTTATATGAGGCTTTCTGTATATTATACAAGGACACTTGAATCTTTATATTTTCTTGGAGAATAATTGTTGATCATATTCTGTTGTTATAAATTTAACCAATACCCGTCCGCATGACCAATTTAATTGTATTTTTAAAATTGGATTCAGTGTGTGAGTAAAACCAGTAGTGGTAACTCAGCAGGGTTTTTTTGTCCTTAGTCCTAGAAGTAAGTAATTACAGATGAAAATATCATCTGCATTTTACCACTTTTTCTATTGGTGTGACTTACACTGGTTATCTTTTAATTTCAATTATTTCATATAATTTATATGTGTCCATTTTTCAGTGGAATGAGAACCAAGGATTTAATAAAAAAGTAGACAATAAAGCTGCATTTAAATTTCTTTTTTTGTTTTGGTGATGATTTTAATATAGCCCTTTAAAAATGCAAATGTGAAAACCACCAAGGATCTTTTCTAAATGTTCAAATTATTTAAATAGCATCTTAAATGCATCATCTTATATTTCCTCATTTTAAAAAATGATAAGATTTTAGAGAGGAAATAATTTTTTCCTTGGATGTAACTTTTTTCCTAGTTTATTCTTTCTTTTTATTCTTCAGTTTGGTTAAGTTCTTATAAAAACTCTGTAAGTTGCAGGGACAGGGAAGCTATTTCTGTTTAGGCCCTAGGTCATTATCTTAACATCCAACTGAAACTATTCTCCTTGCAAAGACTGGGTCTTGCCTCTATAACTGCATTGGCTTCATATTACAGAATTTTTCACGGATAGAATCTTGACTTGATTTCACAGCTAGATTTTTGACTGTAGAGGGCTTAATTCAGCTCCTTCTGTGCGGCCTCGTTCTGTCTGACATTTCTTTCCTCCCTCCCTCCTTCCCTCCTTCTCTCCCTCCCTCCTTCTCTCCCTCCCCCCTTCTCTCCCTCCCTCCTTCTCTCCCTCCCTCCTTCTCTCCCTTCCTTCCTTCCTTCCTTCCTTCCTTCCTTCCTTCCTTCCTTCCTTCCTTCCTCTTCCCTCTAATCTCCTTATGCAGTCTACTCAGTGTCTGGTTCTGTGTTATCTACCAGGGATTTAACAAAATAAGATTTTTGTCCTCAAGAAGAAGTCACAGTAGAGCAGGGGAAAACAGACATGTGAGCAATTAATTGCATTAAACTCTGATAAATGCAATGTTTCTGGTAAGTATAAAATGTTAAGGGAGCCTAGATGAGGAAGCAGTTACAGTGAGGAAGGGCATGAGTTCACAGGGAAAATGATAATGGACCCTGAGTGAGAGGAGTTCATCAGGTGGAAGGAGGAAGGCAAGACAGTCTTGTGAACTTTGGTACAGCTTGCTCTAGGATCAGTAAGTGGGCCAGGTTGCTGGAGTGGAGGGTAGGGGGGAAGAAGCAGCTAAAGATAAATTCTCTAAAATTTCCCGGTATTTCAGTGCATATGTCGTAATGTAGCTTTCCAAGTGTTTTTTTAAAAAATAACATTAGCATATGCATGAGCATAGCTAAACCCAATTATGTTCTTGTTTTTGTGGCCTAAATAATTTGTAGTTACTTTTAATTCACCCATGATTTTGATGGAAGAGAATAAAAAGATAGAGGCTTCAGATGGTTTGATTTTTTTTTATTAGATTTTGAATTTGAAAGTAGTTCCAGTATGTCAAAATTATAGTTTCTATACCTAGGAATCACAAATGGAAATAGTTGTTTTCTCTCTATATTTCTATTTTTTAAAAACAGCCACTTTAAGGTAATTCATTCTTTCATTGAAACAAATATTTGCTAAATATCTGTAATATGTTGAGCAGGGAGAGATGAATGAAATGCATGGTCCCTGCCCTTGGGAGAGTGACTGATAGACTAACAGGCAGTGGCCGTGTACTCTGCTGAGAGCTGGGCTGGAAATATGCTGAGGAAGAAGAGGGGGGGCCCTTAATCAGGGCGGCAATGAGGAGTGATGGTGGATAGGGTCATGGATCACGAAAGGGCTTCTGGAAAAATTAATGCTTGAGCTGAGTCTTGAAGGACAGATAGAAAGTAGCCAGGCAAAACAGCAAAGACAGAGGGACTGGTGTTCTGAGCAGAAAGAAGAGCAAGCGTAAGAGCACAGGCCATCTGGGAACTGCAGGGGCTTCCTTGTGGTTGGCTGGGAAGGCGAGTGTGCATGAGTGCTGAGATATGGGGCTGAGACGCAGCCAGGGCCAGACCAGGAGGAATCTTGGGGGACAGGTAAGGAGTTTTGATCTGTTATCAAATTGTGGGGAGCCATTGAACCACAAGGCCAAAGCTAGTTGTAGAGGGGCTTAAGGGTCACAAGTTTGTGTTCTGGCAGGGTGAGGTCTGACCTTGACAAGGATAAACCTAAAAGCAGGATGGTCGTCTAGAGGTGGTGTCCATCATCCCAGGAGGAATTGCTGAGGGCTGGGTCCAGGCAGTGTCCACGGGGGTGGAGAGGAGGCACTCGATTGTCTGAGGGATGTGAAGGAGGTGGAACAATCAACACTTGGTGGCTCCCTGGAAGTGTGGGGTGAGGGAGATGGAGGAGTGCAGACACCCCAGATTCCTGCCTTGGGTGGGTGGTACCGTCCACCGTGAGGGGAAGCCCAGGAATGCAGGAGATCAGCAGGTTTGGGTGTGAGAGGGGTTGAGAGGCTCATTTCAGGTGTGTCAAGTTCAAGGCAACTAAGAGGAAATAAATGTCCAGTAGAGAGTTGGCCTGTAGATCAATCGCTCACATGGGAGTTTGGGCTAGAGTGGAAGTTTTGGAGAAGGTGGTTTCTTGATAACCATTGAAGCTATGGCCGCACGTGAGGTAACTTAGGACGAGTGTATAGGATGGTGATGAGGAGAGACTGAGGCTGTGATACTAGGGGGACAGTAGCTCATGAAGCACGACGAGCTCAACTGTAGCGCTTTCAGCACTAGGCAAGTGTGATGCCGTAGGAGCCGAGGTTCATTTGACTATTCCACATAAAGTTTTGTTGCTTAACTTTAATTTTTAATTCAAGTTTTTTTTAAATATCATTTTAAGGTTGCAACCAAATGTACAGAATGCATTTAAAGACAAAGATATTAAAAATATTTATTCTAATTAAATGTCTAAAATAAATCTTTATGATGTGTATTTTATATAATCACATTTCGAGTGTGGAAGAGAGTGCAGCATTAACTCTGCCAGTAGGTGCCACTAAGAACAAAAGTATTCTGAGCAATAACTGTAGTAAGATAAAATGAAGGATGCAAAGCCTCGTATCTTTAACTCGAATCTGTTTCTCTTTCACAATTGTAGGATGGTTCAGCAATTTGCTGTGGACTTTGAGAAGAGAATTGAAGGGTCAGGAGATCAAGTAGATACCCTGGAACTCTCAGGTGGTGCTAAAATCAATCGCATTTTCCATGAGCGCTTTCCTTTTGAGATAGTAAAGGTTCGTACCAAATGTTATTTTCCTTTTGTTTCACTTCATTTACATTTTCGATTTTACAAAACTCTTGATAAAGTATTATGTAAGTGGTATGGGACTAAGAAGTTTCTTTGAACAAAACCCTCCATAGTCAGATAATGAAATTCAGGAGAGAAATATTTTCTTACGGATGGTTCTGATTTTATTTAATGGGATTTAATTACCTTTCAAATTATTTCAAGAAATACTAATTGAGTTTTCTGTTATGATAAAACCAAAACAAACAAGCAAACAAAAAAAGTAATTAAGGGCTGGCCAGGTAGCTTCCTTGGTTAGAGCTTGGTGCTGATAACACCAAGGTCAAGTGTTCAATCCCTGAACCAGCCAGCCATACCCCCCAGAAAAGAAAAAGAATTTTCTACAATGTTTATTTGTTGTATAATTAATTGAAAAATCTTTCTTGAGCACCTACTAGGCACCAAAGTTCGAGGTGCCAGTGATTAAGACAGAAGGTCCTTGCTTGTTCAGTGGGGAAAGAGAAAATTAACAAAGAGACAAAATGAGAAAATATCAAGTGTTATTATTATGGTAACATAATGTGAGAGAGAGCAGCTGGGTGAGCCCCTTTTAATGGGATATTCAGGCAAGTCCTCTCTGAGTAGGGGACATGTAAACTGTGACCTGAATGGTAGGAAGAGGTCAGCGGTGTATCAGTCTGGGGAAGAGGGTCGTTCAAGGCAGAAGCAGCACCCCCCTGGCAAGGCCCTAAGCAGGAGGAAGTGTGGCAGGTGAGGAACAGATGTGGCTGGTGTGGGGAGGGTATGGAATGGGTTCAGAGAGGAAGCAAGCTCCCAGTTCATGAGAGGCTTTCTAGGCTGGGGTAAGGTGTTTATGTTTAACAGTGGGAGGCTACAGGAGAGTTTTACACAGGGGTGGGACCCACTTTGGTTGAGGATTTTAAGAGAACATTATGCCCTCTTGATTGTAAAGGGGCAAGAAACAAGTAAGGTGAGGAAAACGGTAGGACCAGACCAACCGTGGATCCACTTTCTGTGGGGCCTGAAGCTTCTATAGTTTTGGCGGCTGGCCGACACAGGGCTAGAAACCTGGACCTTGGTGTTATCTAACCAACTGAGCTGCTGGCCAGCCCAGCTTCTAAATTTTGAAGGCCCACTTGAAAAAGAAGAATACAAAATTATAAACACACAGTTAGTTAGGCTGAGGGTCTTGGAAGAGGCTTGTGCAAGTAAGAAACCCTGAAACTTAAACTTTTTAAGCTTCTTTAGTAAAAATGTGATGGCAAGAAAACACGGAGAAAAATGGATGACTCTGGGATTTTGGAGGTAAGGTCGATAGGGCTTAAATTGATATGGGGGATGGAAAAAAGAGAAGATTAGAGATGACCCCCAAGGTTCTGGCTTTCACAGCTGAGTGAATGGTGGTACCCATAAGATGAGAGAAAGCTGTGTTTGTGTGGAGGTATGAATCAAAAGTTCTGGTTTGGACATGCTAAGTGTGAAATGGCCAATAGGCAGCTAAGTAGTTTTAGAAACTATGCTACTTGCCTCATATACAAAGAGGCGGGTACTTATGTCTTGGTGTGGGAGGCAGATGGATAAATAGATAGTTTTGTTAAAATGTGCTAAGTAAAGTGATAAACTTCAGCAAAGGGTGCTATGGAAACACAGCCCACAGATAAGAATCCAGCCCAAGTACATAAAGGAGCCAGGCTTCTGAACTGGGTTTGGAAGGATGATCAGATAGTTAGGCAGGAAGAGGTGGGTTAGGGTAGGGGGTGCTCCAGGCAGAAGGGGAGGAATAATAGAAGCTCAGGGCTGTGATGCCACAGGGTGCGAGTGAGACCTAAGGCAATTCATTGTTCTAGGGTTTGGGGTATGAGGGGGGAAATGGACAGATAATGAGGCTGCAGAGGCCAAATCGTAGAAGTCAAGGGCTGAACTCCATGTTCTCTGGAGATCCCTTCCAGGTCTAAGCTCTATGACACTTTGATCCTAGTTCCAAGGAGATTTATGTTATCTAGGACTTCTGGGAAATATTTATACAGCAATCTATCCTGTTAGATTGGCGAAATATTATTAATTTCCTTTTAAGAGGCCTTGAACTCAGGTGGTTAAAGTGGCCTGGGAGAAAAGACAGCCATTGTTAATCACAGGACAGCTGTACTGCTGTTGCACGTCAGGTGACACCCTCGTTTATGCATTCACCCTCAAATTTACTATATGCAACCAAAGAATGAAGAGTTATATATTTCAAATGAATGGCTAGATTTATGTCCAGAAGGCATCCTTTATGCATAGCTCTCCTTATCTACAATAGAGTTAAAATCCATTGCACTAAAACTCCCAGAAATCCCTTGTGTTGTATGTTGCCTTGAACTTTATATAAACAGATGTTTTGAACATCTGGGTTTAAGTTAGGAAAGACATGAGTATCCATTTATTAATAACTAAGTCAAGTTTTTCCCATTCTATAATATTGAACAATATTATTATTCAAAGGAATTAAGTGTCATAACCGTGGCTCATTTTGCATCTGCAGATGGAGTTCAATGAGAAAGAATTGCGAAGAGAAATAAGCTATGCAATCAAAAACATACACGGGATCAGGCAAGTGATTCTCATTTTCCTTGTCTTCAGTTCAAGCTACCAAAAGAAAATGATTGTTTATAAATGGCTAGTCAAGTAACCTTTTCATATATGAGCAGAGTAGAATACAGAGGTGGGAGTAAAAAATAGGAAATCCCATTCTGGGTTTAATGGTAATTTTCTGTATTCTTGTAGTCATTTTTTTTACAATTAAAAAAAGAAATACAGCCTGGACTCTGCATAATAGGGGATTCACAGATGAGTGAGACTCTGTTCTCCAGAGCCTTATGTTTTAGTGAGGGAGGTCTGACATGCTCCTAAGTAATCATTACTTACACAGAGAAAGGACAGATTAATTTTGGCTGGAGCTGTGGAGCAAGATTGGAAAAGATTAATGAAGGTGGTTTTGTTTGAGTTGAACCTTGCCTGTTGAGAGAATGATTTCAACAGGCCAAGGTGTGGTACGTGTGTGCATGTGTATGTGTGTGCAGGCATGCGTATGGAGGCAATGAGACCTGAGAGGATAGAATGGAGATGGTTGAGGCTGGAGGATAGAAGAAAGGGCTTTCAAATGGAGGGTGTCGTGTAAGAGACATAGAGGTGGGAAAGTGCAGCATGTGTTCACAGAGCCAGGAGTCGTGTGTTTTGACTGGCCTGAAAAATATAGATAGGAGAGCAGAGGGACATGGGGGAGGGGTATGGACAGGGGTGGAACTTGTGTCTGAATTTCCCCTTGTTTAAAGTGAGATTAGTCTAAGTTACTTTGTCTTACTCTGTTCAGGCTGCTATAACAAATTGTCATAGACTGGTGGCTAATACATAGCAGAAATTTATTTGTCACAGTTCTGGAGGCCAGAAGGCTGAGATCAGGGAGCCAACATGGTCAGATTCTGGTGAGGATCCTCTTCCAGGTCGCAAACTGCCAACATCTCATTGTACCCTCATATGGCAGAAAAAGAGCTAGCTATCTCTCTGGCCTTTTCTTGGAAGGAACAAAGACTCCACTCTCATGACCTAATTACCTCCCAAAGGCCCCACCTTGAGTGGTAGAGTTTCGACATATGAATTTTGAGAGAACACGAGCATTCAGTTCATAACACTTTCTATAAAGAACTATGATAAGAAAAAAATTATTTTAAAACACATTTCTTGAATCCGTGCACAGAAGACTAAGCATAATTTAATGAACATATGTTAAATTGAAGTATCCTGAATTTAGGATAATAAGACTTAGGTTGCCTAGTTTATAGGTTACTAATTTGAAGGAGGTGTCCCCTGTCTGTTGTCAGTTGTGGCTCAACTTCTGCCACAGAGTAAAGTTGAGTCTATGCTGGGAACAGACCCTGAAAAGTCAAAGCTTGATACTAAGTGTGCATGTGATGGGTGATTTTCCAAAGGAGTTATGATGTTTAAAATGCAGATTGTTTTAAAACTAGGCAATCTTCTCTACAGGTCTCAAATAGTATGGGTAAATGTGAGTTTACAAAGTGAAAAGGGGAAAATATCTATAACCAGATCCAGTATTTTTCTTTTACCATCAACAGGATTTCTTTCCCATTCAATTTCCTCTCCTTCAAATCCAGAATATGTTTGGTATAGAAACCATCTTGCTCTTCAGCTGGGCAGACCTAGTATTTTAACATGTTTATCTGATAAATGCAGTGGAACTAAGTCACATTTTTTGGGTCATAAAATATTTAACTCAACCAAATACAGTACTTTTACTTGGCTTGTAAAACTCCTTACCAGATACATTTTTGTTGAATTTAACTGGAAAAAATCAGTAATTCAGAATTGTAGATTTCTGATTTATACGCATACCAACAGAAGAGATTGGTCGTTGTTATTATTCTAGGGCTGATTTGCCTGTAAGATGATAAGAAATGCACAATATCCCAAGTATAAGACACACTAACGGTATGATTATTTAAGCCCTTAAATATACTTGATTTGCAAATTTCTTTCCCATTTGATTCTGCTAGATAGTTGAATAATAGAAACTGTCTTTGTCCATGAAAGACTTGATGGAAGAGATGTTTTATTTTTCTTCTTTGTTTTGCTAACACTCAGTTCCAACCATGAGCAAGAGAGGGAGACAGTCCTTGTGTGGCAAACCAAGGTAAACAGGATAACAACTCTCCCTACCAGTGTAGTAATGAGACTAAAATGTGTGTCCAGGTTACTGCAATGTGAAATAGAGTGTTGGGGTTCAGAGAAGGAAGACCTCAGTGGCAGGACTGGAGAGGGACCAGGGCTGTAGGAAGCGATTGGTTTGATCTGGGCTTTGAAGCATAGGTGGGATTTGGGCTGGCCAAAGTTGTGGGTGAAATTAACATCACTGACATAAAATATCAGTATGACTAAAGGCAAACTGGAATATAGGGTGCATGAAAAGAGAGGAGGTAAATAGCTATAAAGGAAGATTAGGGTCAAAGCATGGAAATTTTTAATATTAGACTGAACAGTTTGGATTGTATTCTGTATGCAATGTGGAGAAATTACACTTGTGATACAGTATGATCACCACAGTTAGAACAGAGGTGAGCACAAGATGCTGAGTAAATGATAAGGAAGGACACTGAGTAATGCTGGTGCAAGGGAAACGTTATGGTTCCCAAAAGAGGTACATAGAATCGAGTGTGAAAGAAGAGAAGTTAGTCAAATAAGGAGAGGTGAGAAGGGGTCTAGGAATGGGGAGAGTCAAGTGCCAAAGCCAGGAGCCTGCAGGGCTTAGTCGTGGCCCGTGCTCAGAGTTCAAGGGCCCTCTTATTGAAGCTTTTCCCTGATAGCCTTTTGTTTAAACCTCAGTAATCATTTTGTACCTTTTATGAAACACACCCATACAAATACACATATATACTCACCTATATATCCATTTCCCTGAGCTCTTGTGCAGTGTGAGAAAAGCATTGTTAGGACACCAATTTGAATTAATTCCAGCCAAAAGGAAGATATGTGTTATTTTGGTTATCTGTTATTTTTGTAAATTTATAACTGAATTTAGGCATCTTGAAATATTAAAATTTATTCATGGTTCCCCTTACTGTTTTCTTCCTCCAGTGCCCCAGGACCTCAGATTGGAAACCACCAAGTTCACTGTAATTTAGCTCTCCTGGAAAGAATAGATTGTATAGTCTACACAGTTTTGTGGACCCCTGCTTGGCTTGAATGGTTAACCAGGAAAGCATGTAGTTAAATATTTTTGCATCATTATTTGTTATAAAAGTGAACAGGATAGAAAATGCCTTTACAGAATAAAGACGTTAAACCTAATGTGGAAATGCAAATAAATAAATAATAAAAGGGCAACATAGTCTAAATGTGGGGGGAAAAAAGAGAATAGAATGTAGAGTTAGAAACACTACTATTTCAGTGTGCAAAAAGTGAGACTCACTTTCTACTCCATGAAGGGCAAGAGGAAATTGCTTTTGAAATCCTTTAGAAATAGGAATTTAAATTTAGGACACCATTTCTATTATAGCATTCTTTTTTATTGCCGTGAAACAGTGACATGAGAAAACTTATAATTAAATATTAGTTAAAGGTCACTTTATATGCTATGAAAACATTTTGAGCACTGTTGTTAGGTAATGTTAATGTTCTGTAGCTTGGAAGTTATTATGGTTTAGCAATATTAAAGATATTATTACAATGATATCTGTGGATAGAACAGATCACTATGTAACTTTTTACCTTGGTCTATTACATGCTTAATTTAAGTGGCATGTCAATTTAAACATTTTTCAAAAGATAATTGGATATTACTCAATTTTTAAAATCTATTGTGCTGCTTTCTTTCTTACATACAGGACGGGTTTGTTTACACCAGACATGGCATTTGAAGCTATAGTCAAAAAACAGATCGTAAAGCTGAAAGGGCCCTCCTTGAAGAGTGTAGATCTGGTAATGCAAGAATTAATCAACACTGTCAAGAAATGTACCAAAAAAGTAAGTTTGAATTATTTAACTTTCCAGCGAGTGTACTTGGGTTACCTACCTCTCCTATCCCGTTGCACGATTCTCTTTCCCTGATCCTCCACTTTGTTATAGACCTTGTGTGTTTGCTCAAGGGCAAGGATTGCAGGAAGTACTGAGTAGAAATTGCTTTCACGATGGGTAGACATATTGTCTTCTATCACCTCATCCAAATGGTTAGGCCAGAAAGGGTATATTTTAGTCAGCTAATTTTTTTCTTTGTTGTCTTCAACATATAAACATCACTTTAGAACAATTAGGTGAATGTCCTAACCTAATTTATCCTATGGTGCATGGATGGGTGTAGTTGTTAGGGGAAGGGAATCATTGATATTATGTATATCAGTCAGAAAATTCTTCTAAATTATAAACAAATTCCATTTGAGAAGAGGCAGTATAGTGTAGTGGTTAAGAGCATAGCCTCTGAGGTCCAATTACCTTGATTCAAATCCTGGCTGTGATATTTACTTTCTGTGTGACCTTGGGCATCATACTTAAGCATTCTAGTCTTGTTAGTTTATCTGTGAAATGGGGATGATGATGATAATAATAATAATACCACCTCAGCAAGGATTAAAGAAGATGATGCCTAGAACCTACAGGGCACCTAACACACTGATTAACCACAGTAAGTGCTCAGCAAATGGTCGCTAGTCTATAAATGGCCATTTTAGCTGCAATCGATATTCTCTACCCCAAATATCCATTGTGTGTGTGCTGTAGAGTGGTGGGGAAGAGCTTCCCAATTTGGGGGACTCCTCATTGAGGAATATAGAAAAATGTGCTGAATTTCTAGGAACATAAAAGAAATGCCTTGTACTGGAAAATGTAAGAAGAGACTTAGTGATGGTGTTAGGTTAGGTTAGTGTAGGCCTAGCCCCATCACAGTTAATACTGGTACTTTGAGGATTTTTTTTTTTTTGTGGATACTTTTGCTTTTGTTAGTTTTGTTACCCTTCTCTTTATATGTGGTTATTAGGAGTACCCTCCCTGAAAATACAGTGGGAAGAAAGAGAAAGAAAGAATGAGAGAGACAAAGAATTCAAATGGATATGAATATTGGTTCCCAGCTACCTGGCAGAAAAGCTAAGATGAAGAAAATAAGTATGTACACAGTGAAAGAGGCAAGCCTGCTAAATTCAGAGATGTGAATGCTAAAAGGAAGGGCATAAGTAGAAATTTCTTGGGACCCAGAAGTGACACTGGAGATTTAGACCCCTCTCTGTAGAGCTCTTACTGCTCTTCTACCTTGTTCTCTAAACTCCCAGCCTCTCGTCTCCAAAACAAGAAAAGCCATTAAAGTTCAGGGAACGAGGTAAAGGGAAGGGGAGGCACATGAGGAAGAAACAAAGCAATCTTTATAGCAGCTCTCCATTTGGAAACTGCAAGCCAGTTAATGATATTTCCCATCCCTGCTGTCCTTGTCCATCCTTCAAAATGCAACCTATCTTGTCACCGGTGCATTTCAAGCTCTCTTAAGTGATCTGTTGACTGACATACAGGATTAACCAATACTATGTTCCCTGTTAACCATGTGGATTGTCACCCTCAGCACACAGATGTGTTCAGCCAGAAGACTTATTTTTATGTTGTACATATACTCTTGCTCCCACCAATTAACCTGTCTTCTTTCCAAGGATCAATGTGTTGTGTTTGTCGTCAAACCTGTTTAGCCATTTGTATTTCTTATTTTAATTATACACTTTAAATGAAGAGTAAACAAACCTATCAAATGCAAGAAAGACTTTGAGTTTTGTTTCTATGAACACTAGGCTAAATGCTTTGGAAAGACCTGATAAATGTTAGCTATAAAAGCTTTGCTATTGACTAGGTGTAGGCAGAATAATGGTAAAAGAATATGCGTGTGCACGTGTGTTTGTGTGTGTATATAAAAGCTTTGCTATTGACTAGGTGTAGGCAGAATAATGGTAAAAGAATATGCGTGTGCATGTGTGTTTGTGTGCGTATGTGTGTGGGGGGTGATACAACTCTAGATAGGGTCTGCATTTAAATTATTTTACAAGGGTCTTCAGATTCTCCCTCTGCTTTAAAGAAAGCAAAACTGGAAATTGTAGATGAAGGATGTGGTTTATGTAACACAGAAGATGCATAATTCAAATCAGTGGATCCATATGCAGAGAACAGGCCTTGGCCTTACATCAAAAGATTGGCACATGTGTGTACATTTATGTTTTAAGTTATATAAAGTGTTTATGGTATGTACGAATCTTTTTTTTATCATTTCCTATTTTATCCAACTTACTGGAAAACCAACAGTCGGTTCTGATGGCATGGGATGGAACAGCTTGTTCCCAGACACATTTTGGCTTCTATTCTTGCTCTCCACCCTTTGAACCTCCCTTTCCATTATCCTCTCTGGATCAATCTTCTGTGTATTTTTACTGTCTTCTCAAAACATTCCATAGTTTTCCTTAAATAAAATAAAACCTAGCTTTCTCCCCGAGATTATTGTCTATCCTGCAGCTTTCTTCAGTGTAGAATATTTATTGGCCCAAACTTGAAAAATCTAAGATCGGCCATGACATTTGTCTACTTTTCCTTTTGTGGCTTCCAAACATTATTCCTCCACCTTCCTATAAAAAGTCTTCCTTAAGGCCCAGGTAGTACCAGCTCTGACACCCCTTTCCCTTATGTTCACTGTGACCATCAAGTCCCTGGTCACTTCTTTGCATTCATCAGACTCTTTAGAACCTGGCTTACATTTTTCTTTGCCATCCCAAATTCACCTTTAACTTGGAAGACTTCATTGTATGTGCAGAGATCATGTCCAGCACCCAATAGCTGCTGTTCTTTGAGCATTTCAGCTCCTGAGGCTTTCCATTCAGTCCATGTTAGCATCACACTTCCATGACCTTTTCTGGCCCTCATCATCACAGACGAATATTTTACAAAGAAATTGTAAGGTCTAAATGTAGGGTTTGCAGAATGCTGATCATCTGCTCCTACCCTCTTTAGGTTTTAAGCAAACTGGGGAATTAATAGAAGAGCTAAGACGAGGTCCTAAATTCAGTGTCCATGTTGTTGCTGATAGATCTAGTTTGGAAGACGTGGCTGAGACTTGCTGCTAAAGCAGGAGCTTCTTGTTACTTCCTCTTTCAGCATTAAACCTTAGAGCCCTCAATGGTGGAGAGAGGTGAATGGGTGGAGCAGATGTACGTCCACTTTTAATTTTCTGACCTATTACTTCAATTCTGCTTGAATTAACTTTGCCACCTGTTGAAACGCCAAGGCTGGTCAAATTTACCATTTATCTTTCTTTTCCTTTCCTCCAGGTTCCTGAAGAGCTTGGAGATAACTGTCCATCTTTGTGGATTTGTGAATATATTCACAAAAAGCATGAAAACTCTTTCAACAGTCTTTTACCTTACTCTAGTTTTGAGTGCTGCCCAGGAATGCTTCAGCGTGTTACTAGTGACTGCCTGTGTTCCCTACCATAGTGATGTTAAACGTTTAATGTTTTCTTCAAGCCACTTGAGTCATAACTTTCATCCTCACTTTCAGTGTTGATTTCACAGAGAAAATGGGCTCCATGAGTGAGAACATTGATTTCTTGTCTTCTGACTCCCAAACTTGCCTGTGTTCACAGCCATCCTTCCTCCTTATCCCTGCCTCTGAGGCGGTATCCTTGAGCAAGGCTGCCTTCCTACCTGTGCTCTTCCCTTCGTAGAGAACTTACTCTTTTGATTCTTCTGTTTCCTGAATCATCACCTGATCCATCACATTTCTTAAAAATCAGCCTATAAACATATTTATGTCTCTTCTAACTTAAAAAGAAACAGTGACAAAAAACGACTGACCCGTTTCCCTCCTGTTCATGGCCAAGTTCTTTGGGAGAGAAGTGGTTTGTGCTTACTATCTTTACTGTCTCATCTTCTGTTAATTACTCAGCCGAAATCTGGCCTCCACCCCACCCCTCTATGGAAATAATTATGGCAAAGGTCTGCCAGAGTCCTGCATGCCAAACTAATGGGCACTCTTATTCCTGACACTGTTCCACTGTCTTTTTGAAGCTGACACTCCTCTCATGGGTTCTCTTCCATCTGTCCCTTGATTCCCCCAGCTCCTTTGAGAGTTTGTCTGCCTTTGTCTGCCTCTCAACACTAGAGTCCCACAGAGCTTGCTCCTGGTTTTCGTCTCTTCTTAATTTATTTTCTCCCTGGCAGATCACATCTCCTATAGTTCAATTACCACTTAAAATATCAGTGATTCCCAAATCTATACCTCCAGCTCAAGCCTCTTTATGGAAACTGTCTACAGACTACTGTAGCCACTCTCTTTTCCTATTTTAAGGGGCTGAACATTTTTTTTAGACTGAATTATTCTAGTGGCTTCCTAACTGATCTTTCTTCATCCAGCCTGGTCACCCTCAAATTCCTCCTTCTCACTGTTATCAAAATGGCCTTTCTAAAATACAGATATATGGTTTGCCTATTTCCTTGAAATTATTCGATGGCTCCTCAGAGCTTTGAGAATGAAATTAGAATCATCTGGGCTTGTATTTAGTTTCACCGTCTGGATTCTGAATACCTCTCCAGCTACATTTACTGTTGCACCACTTGCTTCGGCCGTTCTAAGTGATTTGCACTCTGCTTAAAGATTTTTCATGCTTTTAGCATTTGCACGCATAATTCCCCTTGTCAAGAATGTCTCCCTTTGCACCACTTGCTTCGGCCGTTCTAAGTGATTTGCACTCTGCTTAAAGATTTTTCATGCTTCCCCTTGTCAAGAATGTAATTCCCCTTGTCAAGAATGTCTCCCTTTTCCTCCTGTCTTCATCTGCCATCCCTCTCAGTTTTTAAGTTCCAGCTCAATCATTATATTTTCCTAAAAACCTTCCTGGAGGGCCTTTTCCTGGTCACTCCTTTCTCACTGCTTCGATGGCACCTCTTGTCTATTTATATCATAGCATTTAGGATACTGCATTGTGATTTGTATGTATTTATTTGTTTATG